CGGATAATACTTTATTATCAGTATTCATGCAACTCACACTACAGAATGCATTATATGAATCTAAAAGAGAAATAAAATAATTACATCTTCTCTCCTGGGATGTTTCCCATTTACCGAAGTATATTTTATTATAGTATCGTTATGATGACATTACTTTAATATAATTATGAAAGTATCACGTTAAATCAATTTTCACATTTTCTAATATATGACTATGTAACAATTAAATAAAATGAAACGTACCAAAAGTCACCGCTTATTCCCGGTGAAAATCAATATTTTTTGCAGATATGATCGATTATAAGGTAGCAATGGAAGGTATCATTGGTACATCAACTGTTATCACAGATCTCAAACCTGCTTTTTATTCCTTTCGTATTTATGCCTTTAATGAATATTTCAAGGGTAAAATTGGACCAGTAGTTGACATTGACTTAAATTTAGATAAAGTTATCGATGCAAAAAAGGAAAGAATTGATGTAGGAAAGAGCTGATGCAGACATACTCCACAAACACACAAATATGAGATCTCAATAATCTTTAGCTAAATTTCAAGAAGTGATGAAATGAACAATGGAAAAAACTACAAGCCAATTTGTACTTTAAAAATTTGCTGTTTGTATAATGAACTTTTACAAAAACAATCAATTCAAACTATTCAGAATTTGAAAATACAACACTGATAAATTGAAGTTCGAAAAAGTGCAATACTGAGAAATTGAATAAGAAATTGAAGAAAAAGTGAAATTGAAATAACTTCACAATCCCCAATCAGATTTGTACAAAATCTCATCAGAATTTAGATGAAATTATATGAAAATTTAAAACTAGCGAGGTATTAACTAAGAGTCACTAGAGACCAAGTGTAGCAACATCGCCTGTGTGGTATGCGAGGATTTTTTTTTAATCGTGTTATTACACTTCTCAATTTAAAATCCACAATAATTAATGGCACCATTTTGCTTCAAAAGAAGGAAATCTCTCACTACATTAAATTATATGCATTTAAAATCAATGTAATCGCAGTTACGAAAATTGGGAATGATTTTAATGACAAAATTAATTAGTCGCTGTCGGATCCGCAACCATTACGGGAGCGATCTATGTGTATTCAGAAAATATACAAAAGAGAAAACACATTTCAAATATTTACAATACAACTTCCGTAAGATACATGGTATATTGAAATTGTTATTAAACTAAAACTAAAGTTTAGTTTAATTACAGTTCAAGCCAATAAATTCAGGTTCTGCTTGTGAAACTCGCTATTACCCTGTCAGTCCTTCCTTCTTATTTCGTTGTTTTGATCTGCCTCAACACAAAATGAAGCATTAGATTCACTGTTCTCTTCGTTTTCCACTTGCTCCATACCTTCTGTATCCTTCTCCTGGAAAACGTAAAGAAGTAGATTTGCGATTCTTGAAACAGAAAGTCCATTTTGCAATAATTACTTTTTTGGGGACGTTGAAAATGAATTTAAGCCTTAATCAAGTTTCAAATAAGTCAACATAGAATCCGAAAGTATCAGAAATTATAAAAATTTTTTATGACAAATATAAACCACGAAATATATATACCAGATAAATTGATGGATATAAAAATAATTGAAATGATTTACTTCGAAATCGTTTCCAGCTTCATTGTTTATTCTGGTTTTTTTCTGCAGTGCAATTTTCTTAGAATTATCTGGACGTTTATTTGAGTTTCTATCTGCAAAATGATTTTTGTTAAAGAATTTCTTTACTTCATTGACGTTAACGTACCGGCTCAGGACCAGCTTGTCTTCAGTACTGACTAATATTCAGATGTTAATATCAATTCGACTCATATTTCAACACTCTGTTACGTCTCTTCATAATACTAAAAGTGTGCTTTTTTTGCACCGTAATAAAGATTAAAATCAACTAAAAAATGGAACCCACTCAAATAAAGTAAATCATATTGCGTGACTAATTCTCTCAAGCAAACACCAATCTCTTACACGAATTGTTCACGAGTTTCGTTAAAAATTCACAAATTAAAAAAAACTTTCAAAACTTAATAGAGATAAGGTTGGTAGTTGCTTTGTTCGCTCTTCGATTAAAATAGTAGATATAAGTGTGAATGCCCTTAGAAACAAGAATGCGACTAATGAGTCGTTCGACTGCGTACCAACTAATATTTCGCTTATCATAACCAAGTCGTGGCATATGAACACTTGAGACATTTGAGTTCACCGCATAGAATGCAAGCTTTTTGAGACATTTTGTCAAAACTTCTTGGTCAATTATATCTACAAAGTGTTGTAAAGCATTTTTATTTAATTTGTGGTTAATCCTAGAACGTTTCAGTCAACAAAAAAGTTTAAAGTGTTCGTAAAAAAGAGTTAACATGTTGCAACAGTAAATAGAAGCAATTATGTTTTCGCCTAAAACTTCGTAGAATAGATAGTTCGAAAAGTGAATTCCGTTACCGAACTTGAGATTCTAAGAAATATTGAATTTGACAAAAATGTTAAACCTGTTACAAACAAACCTCTTTTACGGTAATCTTGTGCTACTAATAATACCACAGATATTTTCCTCCAAAAAGGAAAAGTTCTAGATGTGGACTGCTCAGCTTCACCAATACCGTTATTATCCCTTAATCCCTTACCTGAAAATGAAAATACTAAACATTTTAGGCAAAATTAATACCAAATGTTCAAAGTTTAAGGAAATTTTGGAAAAGTTGCTCGTAAGGGTACAAAACTTCCAGATAAAATCTACGAGATAATCATTTAACTGTCGAAGGAGAGAAGCCCAGGAGAGACAAATCATCAAAAGAAAGTGGTTATTTGGAATGAATTCAAGATCAATTTACTTATTTCACTTCCTAAAGTGATGATTTTGCATAATACCGCCTAACTGTACAATAATTTTTTAACAGAAGTAATTGCTTGTGTCAATAAAAATTAGATTGAGTAATTGAAAATAGAATTATTGATGCTGACTAATAGGACCAGTCACAGTTACTAATGAGATCTTTTCTTCGCAGGAAAATACAGCATTAAAAGAAAAAGAGGAAAAAACAAGAATAGGAAGCAAATGACTGTTTCTTATTCATTCATTCAATAAAACGTGTATTTTTAAAGCTCAGGATGAAATAAGGATAAGAGATAAGTGATCAAAGGATGCATATCTTGTTTGAGAAAAGTTATGGGCAATTCATCAGCAATATCCTCAACAAGATGTGCATCACCAAGATGTAAATCGCCCATCTCGCCTGCTAACTCGTACTGATCTACTGTTTGTTGACTCACTCTTCTTAAAGCATCAAACACACCTCCACGACCAAACATGCCTAAAATTAAGACAAGAATTGTGAAAAAATACAAAATGTTGGAAATTATTTGAACTAACTTGAAAAACAACGTTTGGATTTCAACAAAAAAATAATTGAGGATTTTACCACTATCATCCACAACATGAACGATAAGTGCACGATCCGAATTATCACTGGGAATTTTTAGCGTATCCGTGACACTGCCATAGACGAAATGAGGTCCAAAATCTGTGTTACTGTCATCATGTTGAACTTCATGCACTTCGTGAAATGGTAAAGAGCCACTTTTGTAATCTGAATTTGAAGATAATGACTTTTCATAAACATTTCAATAAAATATTAACTGAAATGAAGCCATTTTCCATTTAGATCATTCTCGATAGTGATACAACTGCACGGAGGATGAGACTGCATGTGGGCTCCCCGAAGGCCAATCAATAACCTATTCAAATTTTGCCAAGGATGCAAAAATATGAGCCACAGTGAATAAGGATTTTTCAAGGTTGTACAATGAAAACTTTCAAAAAAGAAACAAGCACTAAAGACTTACTATTTTTGAGCCATTTCATGGCCTTCCTCGCCTCTCGTTCCTTTCTATTCTGTTCAATTCTTTCTTCTTTCAATTTTTTCTTCCGTTCTAATGTTTCCTTTCGTTTTTTTATTCTTTTTTCCATTTCTTCCTTTGATATTAGTTTACGTGTTCGCCTTTGAACTGATACAGCTAACAAATGGTTTATAAAAAGATACCTTACACGAAGTACACAAAATTGCTCATTTGTTAAACCGATATTGTTTCCTCAATAAATTTGTGTAAAAGACAGCACCAAATTCTGAAGCAGGCATGGTTAAGACTTTTAAAATGCTCAGCACATAGTAAGTAGTCATTGTCAATGACTGTGAGTAAATGTCCCAACAAACCTTAAAAGAACTACCTAATCATTCGCTGCAACTTACTAGGTCAGGTTCAAAGTCTTAATGTAACACCAAGTAGCAGCCAAACAATCATTCCCAAAATTATTAAATAGGTTCAAAAGTCAGGGCTAGAAATGAAACATCAAGTATACGAAAATAATATGATCGGACAATCTTTTTTATTACACCGTCTGCCGGAATCAACACTACTTAATAAACAGAACAAGTAAACACAGAAATGAATTAACACGTGAATAGAGGCTGGAATAAGAATAGAACATCATGATATCCCCATTATCATATCATATTGTAAGACTATTATAAGTTCTAATTATTGCCTTAAAAATTTGAAAGTTTTTAAATACTTACACTCCCCAACCAAAGCATGTCCAACTAATTTGATGGCTTTAGATCCATCTAAAATATTCTGCAGAGCTGCAACATCCTGTTTATAATCATGTCCTTCGAAGATATACATATTTTCCAATGTGCTACTTTCTTCCTTCTTCCACTCTGATTTTTCGGAGCTCTGTAACGGATTCCTTAAGTTTTTGGAAGCTCCTTTTGTATAGAGAATGTCTTCACATTTAGCTCAATCTATCTAAGTACTCAAAAGCTTAATATATCCAACAAGTGAAACATATCTCAATTTAGTCCATTCCTTAATTAGTTATCATCAAATATCTCGCACTATAGTTCTTGTCTTGAAAAAGTAGTAAATTGAATGCCTCGAAAATCCCCCTTTTTAGAAATCTAGCAAAACAAAGAATGGAGGCTCCCACTATATTCCAGAATAAACTAATTTTATGCACAACCCAAACAGTAATAATCCTAATTTTATGAGAGATACAGTGCACCGTGATTTTTGTTGCAAATTCTTTTATTATCTTTTTTTTTCTACTAACTACTAACCACAACTTGTTCTTTTCCATCATGAATCCAGTGACCGTTTTCATCGGTTCTACCAACCAACTTTTCAATTTCTTCCATATTTAATTCTTCAGAATCAATTTTCCCATTATTCAGTCGATTCAAGCCCTTTATTATCAAATCAGAAATTTCCGCAAATGTTAGTTTTTGCCCTGAATAAGAGACATGAATTCATTTTAACCGATTTTGCATTTTCATGTAAATATGGTTTCTTTATAGAAATAGTCGACTAACTGGCATCATTGTTATCCTTCAAAATCTCGTGAGTCATTTGAAGTTTCCGAGCTGCATGACAGTGTATCATATCCTCCACCGTATAACGCGCAATCAAACGTATCACTTTTACAGGCCTTGAAGGTGAATATCAATACATGCAATTTTGAATAAAAATAAAGAATTTTTAAAGACAAGAGACTACGATGCTTCTAGTAATTAACGAAAATAACAAAGAAAAAACAATTCCGAATAAAGAGAGATCCAATCAAAGTTAAAGTTATATTTAAAATTTAGGGGGCTTTTGGAATCTCCAACATTTCCAAAAGCAAACTTCATCTGCCCAATTCGGTGACATCTTGCTGCAGCCTGAATGTCATTCTGTGGGTTGAAATCCGAATCCAAAAAAATCACCGTATCGCCAGCGGTTAGATTTAATCCAAGACCGCCAGCTCGGGTTGACAATAGGAAACAGAATATTTCTGAATTAGTCTGGAAGCGATTTACGGCAACAAACCGTTCCTCGGCTCTTACACTTCCATCCAAACGTCGATAGTTGTATCCTATCAAAAAAAAAAAACTAAGGAAGTTTCTTTGAAAACCATTTTTTGAAAACTGCACGCAGTGAAATTCATTAACTAACTTTAAAATATTTCATTTAATTCTTTGTAAATAAGAATGGAATCCTTAATTCCTCATATCAAACTTATCTTTCAGAATTCTCGTCCAGTCTTATTCGCTGATTACAAAAATTTAGCGTTACCTTTATAAATCAAATAATCCTGGGCGATATCAAGCACACGAGACATTTGTGAAAAAATAAGTACACGATGACCCTTTGCAGATAACAGTGAGAGCAGACGATCCAGTAAAAAGAATTTTCCGCTTACTTCAAATAAATGATCACCTTCCTTGAAAGGTTCTGGCTCCACACCTGCAAAATACATTTCATACCTTAACTGATTAAAAAGATGGGGTCTGTTGCAGAGATATGTCAAGAGGCTACTGCAGCTACCTGAAGTTAAATTATATCAATTATGCGGAGCTAGTAAAATCATTTCCAAACATACAAAAGAAAATTTTGCAAGTGTCATAGAGAACTTTGCAAGTTTGTGTCTATTATTTCAGATTCGAATTAAAACATTCATTCTGACGAGTCATTGAATTTATTACCAGTAGATTAGCAATTAAAAATCACCAACAAAAAGATAAGGATGTGCAACACATTTTCGTAGCTGCATTAATACATTAAGTAATGACATTTTACTGCCAGTATGCTCAGTTTTCTTATCGTTCATATTCTCAAAGTATTCTGAAAAGGAAATGTTACACCAGTTCATATTTCCAATCAAAAAGCAAATATACGTCTTTCGTTAGCGGACAAGTTTGAAGTAAACAGTTAGCGAAAATTGATAACTTAATAAATCTTGATAAACTGACAAACTAATCTAAATTTTAGTTTTTCTTGATCAAATACATAGAGATGAAAAATGAATTTAAAGGAGATAGGAATGTAAAAAAATCAGACATATGCAGCTGTATCTCAGTGACGTCGTAAGCAAGGCTCTAATAGTTCTAATAATCTTAGCTGATGGCCAATTTGTTGTTCATTGCTCAAGAAAGAAATGAAACTATTGAGCTTATAAGGAAATTAACGAACTATAATTTTTGCTCAGTATTGCACGATATATGTTCTTTTGCATTTCAGTTATTCCATGATATAATACAACTTCTGAACTATCCGGAATACTGATACGCAGTATCTGCTTTGTTCGACGAATAAGATATTTGGAAAGCATTTGTTGAAGTTCCATGGCGGCTACAACAAAAATTTCTGCTCGGTTTTAAAAAATTCAATTTTTCTTTAAATACTTACTGTTAGAAGGCACTAATTGAAAAAGAATCAAATTTTTAAACAGTGTGCATCTGAAGCAACAGATTGTTTACCTAGTGCATGCTCAGAAGAGGAAATATCAAACTATAACAAAGAAAAGGGAATCCAACAAAGGAAATACCAGTGAAAAGTTCATAAAGTAGATCAATAATGACTATTCCGAAAACACTCCATTTTACAACCATTTGAAAAGTTTTCAAAATTCCGAACACTTTTTCAGAAAGCATTTTAATAAAAATTTATTACTGTCATATGTGTTGTGATATTTCGCAACAAATTGCTCTTCGTCAAGAAGCGGGAATCTGTTCGCATCAATCAAGGAGAGTAATGAATAAAGTTCATTGATATTATTCTGTATAGGTGTCCCGGTCATTAATACCATGAATTCTACAGACATCTAGAAAGGAAAAAGCTAAACCAGAATTCTCATTTCCTTGAAAGTATAATTGAAAGCCAAGAATTTGAACCTTGCGAATAATTTGATGGAGAACACATTTGCTTGACTTCAAACGATGTGCTTCATCGATAAATAATGAAGACCATGTCCAGTGGAAATGATGCTCATCAATTATCACCATCTATAAAAAGTCGTCAGAAGTCTCGTAAGAAGATTGGAATTGCATAAAAGAACATCTTACAACTTTCCATGGGCACGATTTTGTATTACGGGTATACCTCATAGGTTGTAACCAAAACATTCCAATCCTTGGAGCTTTCTAACTTTCGCCGAATCATTCTCCTCGCATCAGCATTTCCAATATATGTTATAACTCGAAGTTTTCCAAGACCAAATCTGCAACTTTTCAGTGCCTAAATTAATTTCGTGCACAACTTCCACAAAATTAAATTAAATGATGTGTATGATGTGGTAAATTGTACAGAAAATTAATTTAAGCAATTCTGAAGAAATATGCAAGCAAACAACGCAATTATGAATTTTTTTCCTCTCAAAGATTTCCATAAAACAAGTCTTCAATATTAGCTTTTATTTGAAATCTTCGGAAATTTCGCTATAGTTTAAACCTCAATCCAAAAAATAATGAAATCAATTAAAGGTGAGCTACTTCTTCATTAATGGTTATTTAGCGACATAATTAAAACTATAATGTAATTACTAAAACTGTTATGTAATAATTTATCCATTACAGCGCCGCTTCATTCCTCCTTAACAAATTAGTAAGCACAGGAATAAATTATACGAAAATATATACAATTCTGCCCTATCGCAACAAGCAGCGCTCTGCAAAATATAGATCGAGTTATATAAATAAAATATGAAACAGTAATTTCAGTATTAAAATTAACCTAAACAGTTCATTTTGCCAATGTTGGAGGACCGAAAGTGGACAAATAACCATATGCCGTCCTGCTTTGTTATCATTAAGCAAGCAAACGATAGCACCAACTGCTTGACAGGTTTTTCCCATACCCATTTCATCGGCAATAATTCCACCATGTTCCTCACTATACCATCGCAAGATACGTTTTGTACCAAGAATTTGATGTTCGTGAAAATTAATACCTCAAACAATGCAATAAATAATTCGGCACGAATCTCTATTCCCAGTCTGCTATGCGAAAATTGGAATTTTTTTAATCGTCAAATTAATCTGGAATTATTTTGAAAATATAAAGAAATGGATATAGAACATTTCGTTTTGTAGACTTCAGCATAACCAATGCAAATAGCATAAGTGGTTCACGCAAGAAATAGAGCAAATTTAATAAATCGAAGTGACGTTTTTGAGTTTTAACTCCTTAAGCTGTAAAATTAAATTTGTAATTATTTATGTTATACACTGAATGTAGTTTAATGCAAAGAGATTTAATAATTACAACTCTAACACTTTAAAATTAATTGCCTTTATGAAAATTAAATAATCAATCCATTCAGTACCTAATTTCGATTCCCTTAATTCTCTCACATAATCCTCGACCATTCTTCTGAATCCTTTGCACGTAGTTGATGCGGCACTCCGAACAAACTTCAAATTTAATTGAACGTTTCAAATCAAATATGTACTAAATCTTCCCGGGAACTACTGTCCCCAATCTCAGCTATTCATTTCGTATTGCCCTTTCTTCCATCGAAGGCAATTTACACGGCCCATGCATTATTTCTCAACGGCTCTTTTGATAGTATATATTAACGATCGGGTCGGAAAAAAAAAATGAATGCAGGTGAGGTTTTACGGTAGAAGCAACGTGAAGGATCATAACTCACCTATAAAAGCTTGAGTTACAGACTTACTTTGACGTATGTTTTGAGCGGGAATTTGCCAAGATACGTTCAAGAATTGGTAGTGTGAGCAGCAATATACGAATACTTATCAGCGATACTTCTGAAGAAGCAATCACCAAACTAGGACTAGAAGTAATGAATAAGCTAAAAAGTTGATTTCAAGAAATCCACTTCTTGACATTTTTGATATGCTGTCCTATTACTAACAGTTAATTCATTCATGCTTCTTCATTCCTTCTTGGCTCTCGGAAATTTCTCCTTTGATGTTTCCCTGTCATCAGAAAGCAATGTTTGAATGGTTCGACCCTGAGAGAATTCTACATCTTTTACTTCTGTTCTCATGGGAACAATGTCACTGTCACCCTTACATAAACAATGTGGATCATCGTGATACCTATCTATTTTAGATGATACTATGAGATCAATTTTTTTAGATGTTTACTGTAAAAGCATGCCGTTACTACTAAATGGACATTATTTAAATGTAATCATTTTGCTTGATTCATTGCATAATTTCATGCAAAAAAAAAAAAAATCGATTACAATAGGCGTAGGTATTGAATGAATTCAAATTATTAAAGTTAATATTTTTGGATACGTTATATATGTGAAATTAAATGTGAATTGGAATGTGAAACAAACGTGAATTTTGTTTTTGATGATAGTCATTTCAGAGTTGGTGAATTTTGCATTTAGGCGAAAATTACAAACCTGATTTAAAATTACAGGTCTAATCGAATTTTCATTAACATTCGATTCATATGTCACACATATCAGGTAGTTTATTTCCTATTGTTTTTCATTCATATATAATGATCATTTTAGAAAACTTAGAATTCAAAAAAAATGATTTTGCTAGAGTTATTTAGAAATGGATGAAAAAGGTATCTATTAATTAAACATAAGTTTTTAAAATTGATAGGAATTAGGAAATGGCGAATGATGGAAATGTATGATATTTCAATGCTTCTTTTTTTCTTTTGCCTAAATATTGTGAGTTTTATTCTGGTTGCAATCAGTTGTACTTCTGCACGGAAAAAATCAACGATTTTTGCAATCAATGACGTAACATACTCTGTCGCATTAGAGGATAGACATTTACTCTTATTATCACTAATCAAAAATAAAACCAAGTAATATATGTGTTATTTTACACACCATCATCCACTTTTCCATATTTTAAATTCGTTATATGCAATAATACAATTCACTCAACGGTTCTAGCTAGAAAACCAAATCGAAATAAAAGCGATCAAAATGTAAACAAACTTTTGTAGCGTACCGAAAATAAATTCATACTAAGCGTATTTGTCCTAACCTATCTAACTTCATTCCTTAAAGCTCTTGATTTAACATAGCGATGACATTTGAACCTTGCTCATTTGGTAGCATTGATATGCATTACCTAAGAAATCTGTCGTACAGATAACCTGAAGACTGTATCATTCAGACGTTCGAGAAAAAGAGATGTCGCAGTGATGCATTTCGTTTGATATTGATAATTCCTCTCTTCAGCTCTTTTGATTTCCAATAAAATATCATTTAAATCACTTGTTGTATTGAAGTTTGCAAAACGAAATTCAATTTGTATAATTAAAAATTAAAGTACAAAAATGATTTCAATGCTCTTACCAAATGATGCCATCACTGATTTCATTATATCTATCAATGATTAACATTAAATACATTTCTAGAGAAATGGTTAAATAAATAAGAACCGATTTTTTTTTTCCTATCAATTTTGCTCATTCATCTATAAATATGTTCACATCTGAAATGAAAGATTTTATTAAACAGTGAGATTAAAAAAATATTTCCACCATTCAGTATAATTGAACTTTCTATTTTTTATATTTTAATTTTGAAATTTGATTGAAATTTTGGAATGCATCCTTCAATGCTTTATAATTTTCATTTGCTACCAATTCAACGACTAATGTTACTTCTTCCATCTAATCGTATTTTACCCATTACTGTTTGCCATTCCTCCATCATGTTTCCTTTTTTTTTTTCTTTTTTTGCAATATATTGTCATACCATTTCAATTAACCAAATTTAATTCTATGAACCAGACAAACAGGTTTCGAGGACGATGAGCAAAATATTGTAAAGAGAAGTGAATTTTGCGCAAAAATACCATACATGAAAATTTCCGGCACCTCAACTTCTTACCATTTTACCATTTCTAACATGAAATGTCCCAAAATGTTTGATATCAAAAATTAGCATTAATTTTTTTGCAACAATCATTTATGATTTTAAATATAATAAAGTATTGTCAATTTCTCCATATTATCTTTTCTTTCTCCCTCTCTCTTTCGTCCCATTCCCTAACCTTTGATTACATGATTAATGGTAGTTATATTACGGAAAAAGTTAAATTTGCAATTATTGTTTAGCATTTGTTAAATTTAAATTATATTTCATCTTATAACATTGTCCAATTATGGAAATATTTTTGGAAAGAAAAATGACAAGATCAATAGTTCTTCTTAAAATTATCATAATTTAGTAATATGGTTTAACTTTTTTAAAATTCTTCTGGAAAAAAAAATTGTTGAAAATTCTCATCCATTCTACAAAATACTGCATGTATACTTTACAGGTGATTTTAACAAATAAATTACGAATCAAATGTGTAAGCTTAATCGAAATGAAATGTGTCCTTTATATATTTTAGTAATTTTTTCAAACATCAGAAAAGGTAAAATTTAAAAAAAATAGAATAAATTTAAATAAAAAATTTTGGAAAAAAACTTTTAAACAACGATAAGATGCAATCATTAAAGGATGATAATAAATATTAGAATATTTTAAATTTTTGAAAAAGTTATCAGCATGAAATAGTTATAAATTTATGAGCACAATTGTTTCGGTAGTGGTACATTTATAACCTTTTTTTTTTTGCCTTCTTTTTAATAATCCAATCAGAATATTTCATAAAATTATGATAAAGTGAAAGAAGAGAGCAATCATTAAAAGCGACATTTTTGATAGAATAATTAAAATGATTTTTCTATCATTTTTTGAATAAATATTTGCGCATATCTATCAAATCATAAATGATTCTGAAAAAAATATATGAAATTTAACAATAAATGCCAAGAATGTAAAACTAAACGGTAGGATGCATATTTTTAATATTTTCTTACTATCTGTTATTCACTTTATTAATTAATCAATATTTAAATAATCAAGGTTGTAAATAACTAAATTAATTATTAACAGCTTATTGACTTTTATCACATATGTTTACGAGACATATTTGCTTATCTGATTTTTCTTATCAATAATTCTTCAATTATCTATTTTATTTCATTAAATAACATTTATCATTAATGGACATGTAAGGAAGGCAACATTCAGGCTCAAAATGAAAGTATTTCTGGCTTTTTTATCAGTTCCTCGAATTGCCCATATCATTTTCGGATCAGTTATCACTACTGAATCAGAAATGTGGTGGAGAAATTTATGAAATTTTTTTCAATCTTACTAAACTTATCTAACATTTCAGATATGTTTAAATTTTGACAAATTTTTCAAAATAAAATTTTTGAGAAATTTTTTAGTCTGAAAATTTGCACTTCAGTTTTTTTTCTTTCCTTAATTATTTTCTTAGAAACAATTTTTCTTATCGTAATATTTTCAGTTACTTTCTTTTTTTTAATGAAAAAAAAATAAAATACGATGTAAAATGAATCTTTTGAACATTACATCAATTTTTGTTTCCAAATTTTGCTATCATTAGCCATCAATTTTCTTTCAAGCATTAACTGCTACTAGAATCGAATTACATGTCCTTTACAATAATTTAAATTGGAATAGAAAGATGAAATAGTATAAGGTAAAGAAAAAATCCAAATTTCAATTCCAATTATTGCTAAATTTTCTTTCTTTTTTTTTGTTTTCGCTTCAACTATCAATTATGCCGAAAAAAAAACTTTTTTCGAACAGTTTTTTTTTATAATTTTGAGACAAAAATTTTTCTTCTAACGGTAATAATACAATTAGCGATTACAAATTACCATTCAAATAACAGAAAATATTCATTGGCTTCTTCGTGTTTTTAACATTTTTCAAAACCTGTTAATATTTAACTTTTCTTAGAATTTGCTAGTAGAAAAAGTTAAAATATTTTTACTCTTCAATCAAATACTTTCCAAAATTCTTCTTATCGGAATATCTGTGCTTTTATTTTCTTACTCTCTTTTACTCATAACAATCTTATTTTATTTGATCTTCTTTGACGTATCACTTGATAAAGTACTGAGATATGAATATCTTTGGAAAACTTTACAACCTTAATAATCAAATTACTTTGATTCAGGTTTAATATATTAAACTGCCAGTTTTTGTTTTTTTTCTTTTTTTTTGATCTTTCCTTTTAATTTGATCGATAATTTTTCAATAAAAAGAAATTCCCTGAATTAATTTTAATATCTGAAATTATATATGAAAATACATAAATTATATATATCTTATATAAATTATACATATCTGAATATAAATACATAAATACGTAGTGTTAAATTTGTTAGAATTTCAAACAATTTGTCATTTAAATATTCAAAAAAAAATTTTGTAGATTTGTAAAAGAAAATCGTAAATTTTAAATTGAAAAAAAAAGCATTTACACGTAAGGATACTTCGTTTTGTTATTGTTGATAACGTAATCTTATCATTTGATCAGGAATTTAAAGTTTACGGTCACTCAAAGTTTACGGTCACTCAAAGGTTTTTTATCGTTCTTTTTTTTTTCAACCAGTTCATATAGAATTTTATCACTTTTGTCTTTATTTCTAGAACCGGAATAACTTAATAGTACTAAAAAGTTGACAGTTGATGAAAATTACCAAGATATTTACTCAATATACATTTAGGTACTAATATTTTTTCCGGCATTAAAGTAAAAGACGAAAAAAAAGAAAACTTGATGCAAAAATATTAATACCGGATCGAATATCCTGTTAATCATGCTGAAATTTTATTATCAATGATGATTTCAGGAAAATGCTTCCATGGCAAGTACAATATTTTCGGTGTTTATTTTGGTATGGATTGTTAACTGTTTCGCTATCATATTCAATTTACAATTTTATCATTCTTGAAACACGTTCCGGAACTTTGCTTGAAGTATGTATGTTTATCCAATTAAATTATACGGTTGCTTTCCTGATTCAATACATTTTCCTGTATCAATTTACGGAGAGCAAAAAATTTGTTTCATTTTTTGTACATTTTCCTTGTACAAATATATATGCTTCTTAAATATGTTCCTGTTTTCCTGAATGCAAGTTATTTAACCGGATTTAAACAGGAATGTTGCTATTAAGAAAAATAGATCCACTGCATAGTTAATTCATAACAAAAGCAATAATCTCATCTGAATGGAAAGAATTTCACTTTTTTTTAATTTTAAATTAATTCAAATTAATATTAAAATATTATAGGTTGCACAACTGAGCGATGGATTAGTTTACAAGAATATCACTAATAAAACATTACCAGTTATTGTAATATTGCTTACCACTAGTCCATCACAAAATTTCAAAGGACTTAAATCTCTGTTACCTGCTGATGTATAGTATTTTTCTTTTTAATAGACTAAATTGCGAAAATGATTTTTTTTTCAAAAATTGAATTCTTTAAAGTTTATGAATTTGAAGTTTCATTAATTTATCAGATCTAAAACATAGGAAACTTTATAAGTTTAAATTTTTTCTCAAAAATCTTTCCAAAATTGTAAAAGTTTTTGATGCATGAAATGATTAGATAATGGTTGTGATATATATGATCATGATTTTGATATGAGTAAGAAAGAATTTTAATATATTTTAGAAGCATGAAAAAGCAGCAATGAATGAGACAAGAAGAAAAATTACAGGTAAAATATATTCATGATCGAAGAGATGCATATAAATTGAAAACACCACAAGTTCATGTTCTCATACAGCCAACACATTCTACCGTACTACCTGGTTTCATCAAATTTATGGCATCAATTAAAAAAGTAAGTCATTTTCAATCATTTCTAACATGCTAAGCTCTATATTTTCATAAGTTAACATTATAATAGTTTATCAAGTTTAAATTCTGGAACTTAAAAATTAAATTAAGATGAATGTAAGTGATGTGGCAAAATTTGTCATGCTTTCGATTGAAATTGAAAAATACATCATATCACCAAATATTGATAAGGTACTATGCTTCCCGAATCAACAAGTGATACTTATGAATACTGTTCTAGGTTAGTGATATTGAAATTAAAATTTTTAATACAATAAATTCACATATTGATAATACCAAAACAATTGTCGACATCAAGTCATGTGATGAAAAATTATTACAATTTCTGGAATCGACAAAACTGTATTTTGGAAGAAAGTTGTAACTCTTTGTCGCAACTTTGTCAAGTCCTTTATTTTATAACATTTTACAAAACTATCACTTTTTCAACTTATGTTATGTTCATAATGGTAATATTAAACGAATAATGAGAATTATCAAAGTTTATTATATTTTTTAAAGGTAATTATCACTCGTTCACGATATATGTGGCAAATTTGGATGAAAGTAAAAATGTGAAAAATTTAACTGATGAAATGAGTGGGAATGTTGGTTTAACACGAATGATCGCCAAAGAATTGCTAAATCCGGTCCGTTGTGATTTGATGTTTTTTGGTGTTATCAGTAATGATGTTTAATTTTATTATTGATTATAACTGTTATTTTGTTCTTATTCAATCAGCAAAAGTAAATGTATATTGTGTATAAGAATATAAAACAAAAAAATTAGCTTAAAGTTAAGTTTTCAATTTGAGAGAATTTTTTTTCTAGTTGAAATCAAATTTTTTTATGAAATAATCAATTCAGATGAATAATGTGTATTATTTGTCATTTTGCGATAATCCATTGCAAATATTTTTGATAGTAAACATGAAATTAATTTTTATTTTAAAAAAAGTTGGAAAAAAATACGAAAGAAATTTTATTTCAAAAAAAAAAAAAAGCACAGTTCATTACAATATATCACACACAAACATTGAAAAAATAATCGAAATTAATATTATTAATATCACCAAAGTCATTGAAAGAAAATGCATTAAAAACGCTGAAGTTATGATAGTTATTGAATTTAAACTCAAATTGCTGAATTTCAAATTAAAATTGAAGCTAATAAAGTTAAAATTTTTCAATATTTTATGCTTTTATCGAATTTTATTTATCATTTTTGTACATATATCCAAAGTAACATTTTCATTTACTAATTGTGACAAAGAAGTATCACACCTAAAATGAAAATATGGAAGACTAGATGAAATTATCGCCTTGTATGTGCATGTATGTACTTGTTTCGACAATTTCTACTACTTTCTCATCCTAAGTTTTATCATCTAAAATTAATCACAAAACTAATGCATCGTAAAGTTGTCACTTTGAAATAAATAAATACTATAAAATTAAACATTGAAATAATTATTATTTCCTTGAAATTTGTAAAAGTTTCAATAATTTTGAATTTTCAATCAAAAAATTTTTAATTAAATGATGATGAGAGCATTATTTCAAATTACATTGGCAAGCAAGACAAATTGAGAGAGAAAAAGAGGAGAAAATTACGTAATTTATTATTTACACACAAATTTTCAAAATCAAATATTATTCAAAAAAAAAAAAAAAAGAAGAGCATTAACTATAAGGGATTCTTGAGCGTTGTTGCCAAATTTAACCCCGTTACCACTGCTGCTGCATCGCTAACATTCTGGAAAGGATTTTTGCGGAATATTTGTAGAACCAGTACCACCTCCTAATGCAAATAGTACACCTTGATACATGGTACCATTAATTTCCATTGATACTACCAAGGAGTTTTCTGAAATTAAATTGATGATGATAATGATCAACATTTCAATTATTTTATTTAATTTTTCATTAAATACTAATTTAAATTAGTCAGAGAAATGGTAGTAATAAATGATAATATTAAAACGGTAAAACTAATAATTCCAATAAAAGAAATAATATTAAATTTTGATACGAGTGGTTACTAACAATAGAAGTACTGATATTGATAAGGATGAAAAGTGATAATGACAGCATTCCTTTTAGCAATAAACAATGCAATTTTATTGAGAGCCAAGAACTAAGGTTTTTATTATTGCTATGAAGTTTTGTAAATTTACTGAAAAATTAAAAAAAAAAATAGGTCGATCTACCTCCTCGACTGGTAATTTTAAGGTGTGCTGATGGAATACTGCCAAATAAGCGTTCTGTAGCCAAATTAGCCAATAAATTACTGCTAAGACCATTTTCATCGTTCAATGCAGCAGCAGCAACAGCGGCTACAGCGGCAGCATTTGTGGTTTCAGCGATACCGGTAACAGATGAATAAGTTCGAGCTCGTTTTGCAGGTGCAGCACCATCAGAATCTGCTGATGAGGTTGATTCACGTCCTGACATATGTGAAGGATCACCATCACCACCACCGCCACTACCATCACCGCCACAACTATTACCATTGTTATTGCTATTACTGCTGTTTATATTGTTGTTTTTGCTACGTATATGACCTGAATGCCGAGTTACCGCTTCTACCGCTGCTCTGGAAGTTTTTTTTTTCTTTTGGGAAAAAATTCCAAATTAAAATGAATTGCAATTTTTAGCTTAAATTTCAATCATATTATTGTCAAAATCAATTTTTCATCTAATAATTTATTAATAATTTACCTTTGTGCTCGCTCAAATTGCCGCTGTTGTGCTTCCAGAACAGCTAGTTGTTCAACATGATAAGCAGCTACTAAAGCTGCTTGTTGCGAAGCTGGGCCTAAGCCAGCATCATCATCCAAGCCTGAAAATCATTCGAAAGTTTTTTCATAAATTTCAAAATTAGAGCTATTTTTATATATTTACTAACTTGACATCAAACAAAATATTTTTTTAAACAAGCCATAAGTTAGCATACTATTACTTATTTATCACAAAACATCTCAATACTAGCATTATTTATTTACCATTTCGAAGGCTTAAGGTACCATTGAGGTGTTTGTTAAGTAATGCCGTTGAGTTATGATGTGCTGCGGCAGCGGCAGCAGTTGCAGCAACGGAATATCCAACTTGCGGATAATTCGCAGATCCGGTTGATGCATTTCGTCTTCCTTCGCGCCGATTTCCATCAATTGCTTGCTGCAAATCGGATGCCGTACTGAGACCTTCTTTCTCACATTCATAATCATATAGATACTTTTGATATCTGAAATATTTATTATGACCATAACAGCGATGATATTATAATATATTTATAAAAGATGACAAATTTAAAACTTAAAATAAAATTCATGAATTTAGCAAATTTATTTTTAAAATATTCCATGATTTAAATTATTTGAAGAAGAATTTTTATAACTAATCTTTAAATTTTCTTTTTTTTCTTTTTTTTGCATAAAACTATGAAGTACATAAGAAATACATATGTTTAAGTAACTGTTTAAGAAGTTTGCCATAAATCAATTGTTTTATTATTAAATAAAATAAATGTTCCTTTTTTTCTCTTTCAAATATTTTATTTTGCATCCTTTTTTCTTTCCACTTTTTTTCCCCCATTATTATTTGAATAATTCATTGAAATGAACAAATTTTTTGTCCAAAGATGATTGGTGGAAGAAGTTTAATGAAAGATCTATCTGTTATTTTTGGTGGATTGATTCAAAATTGTCGTAATAAAACAGCTGGTTTCATCATTTTACGAAAAAAAAAAAATTTTTTGAACATACACTGAAAATGAAAGAACAAAAAATTTTGCAAAACAAAAAATTTTGCAAAAATTTTTTAAAATTTGAAAATAAAAACTTGTTTAAAGTTCATTTCACTTTTTCTCATATTACTTCTTCATTCAATTTTATGTTCCCAATCAACGTATATTAGCTTAACAAAAAATAATAATAATAATTTCTTATCCTTTTTTTTCTTTATTCCACCTTCTCTCTCTCTCTTTCTCTCTTTTCCTCTCCCTCTTCTTTATATTTTATTAGTGTATCAGTTTAAGAAAAAAAATAAAAATAAAAATAAAAACAACAATTTTGAAAAAAAAAACAACACACACACACAAATTAATATAATGTTAAAGTAGAAGGATAAAGTATGTGAAAGGGCGTAATATTCATTGAATTTAACAGCAAACGATAGTCGATGAAATATTTATCAAAAAAAGAAAAAAAGTTTTCATAATTTTTCAACAGAAAAAAAAAAGTGAGGGATGAAATTTGATCGAATGATTGTTTTTGAGATACAAAATCTTTTTAGCAGCAAAACAAAAAAATGAAAATTCATTCTATCATTATGAAATGTGTTTATCAAATGAATCGTTGAGCTTAACTTATCAGCTCAAATAACGATATTACAACAATAATTTCATTTCAAATAATAAATAAATCTTTTTCATTTCTAAAATATTATGCAATTAGGGTGAAATGTGTTGTTGTTGTTGTTGTTAGTATAATTTGAAATTTAATTTAATTATTTATAAAAAAGCTAAATAAAAGTGATAATTATTTCATCGGATGAAATCTAAAATGGATGATAATTTTTAAATTATAAGAAAAAAAATTAATACTTGGATCAATTAATTTTACTCAATGAATGTCATATCGCGCAATATTTATTCTTATCTAAATTAAATTTCAAGTTTATGGTATTTTATTATTTGATGAATGGGAGAAAGTATTTCAAAAGAAAATTATGCCATAACGATAAAATATGAAATTTAAAATTTGCTAATTATATGGTTATGAATTATACATTTAGTAATTTAATGTTTTATAGGAATAAAAGTAATCAAAAATTGGATTTAATCAGCAAATAATAAGTAACAAATAATAATAAAATCAATAATGCAATAAATTAATTCATTTATATTTGGAATTCTATTTTCTTTGGCTTTATAATTTTATCAAATTTCAAAATTTTCTCTTTTATAAAATTCACCAAACATATAACAACATCTTGTTTCAATTATCAATTTTATATCGTTGTCTATGTTTTGTGGAATATATTTTAGAGAGTGAAAAAAAAAAAAAAAGCGCAAAATATTTTCCAAATTAGTGGAAATCACATAATTCTTATAACATCTGGCATTCGAACATTTCCTCTTTTTTCTTTTCGAATTTTTGTTTTTTTGTTTTTTAGATTCGATTCTAATGTATAAATCTCATTAAATTTGAATGTAAATTATTTTGTTTTATTAATTTTAAAAACTTAACCCAATTTCACAATCTGTTTTTGATGGGAATTTTCACACAGTCAATTTTAAATTATAAGTTTAATTTCGAGAATGCATAATGCCTTCACACATTTACCATTGTATATGCTTTAGTGTCAATTTATTTGTTATAACTCTCACATATATAAATTAAAATTTGAAATGAAATAAAAATTTATGTGATAAAATTGTTGTGCTATCAGTCATTTAATGTTCTTAAACACGATTTTTTTTTCGATAAAGTACTCAAAAGTTTCTTTTTAATCAGCTCAATTTAGGCAAAAATAATTACCGTTTGCAATACGATATGACAGAGAATCAAAAATTTGCAATAAGCCAAGAGGAAAGAAAAGAATTAAGCCAAATGAATGTGATAGCTTAGCTAGTACGGTAGATTAAACAAAACAGTTTATTGGCCAGGTATCATAAGTCTCTTCCCACAAGCCAAATTTTATGGCTCTATCTGACATATTGTCCCTTACTATTCTTCGTTTGATCTTTGAATTTTTGATAGTTAATGATATTATATAGTCTTACAGAATTATTGTTCAACAATTTATTTCCAGCAGAATCATGCAATAAATTAAATAACTATCAAAATTCAAAAGTTAAAGCATATCTTGATAATTGTATGCTTTTATGCAAATTAATTATTTGACTTTCACATAAATTGTATCCATTCAGCTTATATCATCCCTAAATGTCACATTTTCATTTTTTCGATCTGATTTAATTCAATTTCATTCCCCTTATGCTCCCTTCTAATACCATCAATTTGTAGAAATTTAATATTTCAAATATCATATATCAATCGATCTGCTCTCCTGTTTTGCAAAGAAGTTTGATCGAATCACTCCTCATTCATTATGCACATCTTTCTCCGAACAATACAAATGTATATCAATCAAATCCAATAAATCTACATTTTTCGTATGTCTGCTCTTCCATTTCCTGTCAAATTTAACTCCCATTTCGTTTTCTTCAACCAAATTTTCAATCATTCCTATTCTTCCCTCTTTTATCCTATCATTCCATTATGATGAAGTCAGTTTTAAAACAAGATTTAATTAATTGGTTCAGCAATTTTTAAGCCACTAATTGACATTTCAATGGTTATGAACGACGATATAGAATTAGAATTGATGAATGATTAGGTTTTTGTTATAGCTATGGAAGGTGGCAAACAAGGAAATGACTTACCACAAAATTTTTGATTTATTAAAATAACAAATTTTTGATCTAAATAATAAAAAAATAATCTGATCATTTTCAAATTTTAGTTGTCTATTTTGATTATAAACTAATAATTCACCAAATATATTTATTAATTAAATTAAATATGTTTATTGATTACAATGTTATCAACGATATAGCTCACAATGCTTGCCATAAGTTGCATTCATTTAATTAATACTGTAAATTGGATGAGATAATGATAACAGTTGGAATTACTGTTTGATTAATTAGTCAAATCTTCAGGTATTAGATTTCTCTTCGATTGCAACAACTTAGAAAAGAATGTAAGGAAAGTCACGAAGAAGTATGCATCATCATGATCGATGAGATTTTCTACCGTATTTCTCATTTAATTTTGTGCTAATTATCATTTACTTTGTTTGCTTTACAAATACATAACTTACTGTGTTCGTAGAGTGAATGCAGCTGATGTAATTGATGACGGTAAATTTAATCCTCTCGTTATTTCACGCCATAATTTTTTATTGATAATTTCAACCAAACCACCATGTTGTACAACCAATCGATAAAGTTCATATAAGTCTAACACCTGTTTAGCCATAATTGGTATTCGTGTAACCGGTTTTCCTGAAATCCCTCCATTTTCTGCTTAATTTATGATAATGATAAAAGTAAAAATGTGTTAAGTAAGTTAAATTCATTTATTTGCAATTATTGCATTTTTGTTTTTAATTCCATATTAATTTCGGTAATTTTTTGGATTATTTGCTCAGTTGTTGAATTCAATGATTCATTCAATTTATTTTCCATTACCTATAGTTTCATTTTCCTTAGTATTGAATAGGAACAAAAACAAATCTATAAATGAATAAAATGAAATTTGGAAAGTCTAAAAAACATCTTTTGACGTCATCATTTTTGAAAAATATATGGCTTCAGTCTTAAAAATTTCAATCAACTATGATAATTGATCAAAAATTTTATCAATAACAATCAATTATCGTTGGTCTGCCTATGTTTAATCATGATTGATTCTATGAGAAAATAAACTTTGACCTTTCCATTTGGCTTCAAAATATGATAAATTTCATAAAATTTTCAAAATCATAAGTTACATAAATTATATATTTTAAATTAGAACAATATTATTTCGTCATAATAAAATTTGAAATTTATCTAAGAGCTGGGGTGTGATATTTATCGGATGGTATTTGGAATGTATATCAGCATATCACAGACATAACTGTCATTTCTTTTCAATTTAATGGTTGCAGTTGAAGTCTAAAAGTTTTGTGTATGTAATTTTATGTTAGATTAAAATTATAGCACATATTTTTTGAATTTTTTTTATTAAATTTTTCATATTTTGAAACTCAAAAAGAAATTAATTTGATTAATTAATTTCTCTGACAACATGTTGTTCATATTGAATTTTTTTTAAGAAATGTTTTCAGAATTTTACTCTATAAATAGTTCAGGAGCTCTTAGGTTGGTATTATTATTACCACTATGTTTATATTTTTACCCATCTTCTATCTTTCTCTACTCCTGTATGTAGTAATAATTACGGGAATAATAGTGATAATGACTATAACTGTCATAGTCATTATCATTATCATAATCAAAAAGACAAATTGCCTTCAGGGAGATGATAATAGCGAGAAAAAAATAATATTGATAACTGATACTGATAAATGAAAATGGTAAGTTTCAATGATAAATTATCATCAACAGTAGTTCTGATCCGATGATGATATGATAACAGTTATTGGTTTATAATTAATAATCATTAAAAATTCACAGAATAACAAAGGAAATCTAGCAAAGACACTAGCCAATGGAAAGTGAGAGGGATTAAAGGGACGAGAATCAGAATAAATCGGAAAAAAAAATTAAATGAAAAGGAAATTAAAGATCATGATTTCCGTCCCTCAAATTCTTTTCACTGATAACTTATCATCAGTGATAGTTTCTAACCTTATCTTTTATCCCAGAAACAGTCTTGATCATACATTTTCATTCATCCATTCAAAAATCCGGAGAGAACCAATCATCATTCAGACATTACTACTACTACTACTACTTTCCAATGAACCACCGTAATAGGCATGAATGATTGTGTTACGGAACGGAAGCAAAATCAAACAAACGGACAACCAATCCTCTGTCAGCTTATTTCTTGCTTTTTTTTTCTTTTTTTGATCATTTATGAACCAATCATAATGATTAAAGTATTAATGACACTGAAGTTTAAATTTAATTCAAAATTATGAATGAAATTTCGGGAACATTTCATTAATTATCGAAACAATAATTAATGCTTTATAAGTATTTCACTTCATTTTTCTTAATTTCTACTCCATTTCCCAGAAATTTTGCTAATTTGGCATGCGAGAAATAATCTTTAATCAATAAAAAAAGAAGAAAATTCTGGAGAGTTCTTGAATAAATTCTTAAAGTGGGATAAATTCTTGCTTAAGCACATTTCATTTTACCTATTTCAATGCATATTTTCTATTTCTCTGACTGAAGTGCCAGGATGAAATTCAACAAAATAGAAAAGAGTCAAAAGCCAAGAATTTGAGATTGAATATGAAGGATTGGCCTAAAACGTGAAGCTCTCAGTCATTTATACATTTTCCAGGAATTGTCTCAACAAAAAAAAAAAAAAAGACCATACAATTATTACATTATTATACAA